TGCTGCATTATTTTGCGTGCAAGGTGTACTCCGGCCGGAGCTTTTATCTGCTCGGCGAGAGGCGAGGAGCATACAATGTTTTACACGGCGTCTCCTTTCAATCTGATCGCACGTGATGCAATCGCAAGTAATTGCAAACGACAATTTCTTGGCCAACTGCCCGTTGACCTGGACTTCCTTATCTCTGATATTTGGTGTGAGCGATTTAACACCTTGTCCACGGTCAGTGAGCAACCATAGGCTTGGGACTATCCGTCCATCGTTTTTTGTGCTGTCCGTTTCTTTCCAAGGGCGGTGCAATTTTGGATGCGCTTCATGTCTCCCAATGGAGGCTGCTGCTGATGGCTCTAACACTGCACCATCAGCCGGGCTGTCTGGCACGCCATCGGCGCCATCCGCGCCATCTGCTGTTGCGCCAGGAGAGAGATCAACTTAGCCACAAACATTGCATGTCCATTGCATGCATGTAAGCATCGAACCAGGAATAGAACCTGGGGCTTTTACCGAGATTGAGGCAGTGGCATTTCAGGCAGCTGCGTTGGCAGCACCTGTTGACCAGGTTGCGACAAAGAATGAAGCCGGAATGCTGCAAATTCCAGATGCATCTCACCCGCATTTCGGTGGAGCACCACAATCAAGGCTTGTATCCCCGATGGCTGTGGTTGGGTAGTCCATGGCAGCTACCTCGGAACTAGACCATGTATATAGGGCAGATTTGTTTTCTGCATGCTTGTTTGCTTGTTGGATGCAACAGGCACGGATGCATGTGTCAGCCGCCAACAGGCCCTCATTGTGTAAAGGAATGGTTGGACCATTATATAAAATCATATATATATATATATATATCACAGGGAACAGCTCAACTTTGCCCAGGTGAGGCCCAAAGTTCAGCCTACGGCTGATGCGACACTGATGATGGCTTAGCAATAATGTGTTGCTATTCCGAGACTTTTCAGATATGCAGACATGTCTCAAACTCAGGTTGTCTGTATGGCCTGGCCTTGGAGATGCAGCCGGCATCCTCCGCATCTCACACGTCACGGCGCAATTGCGCGACTCAGGATTTCCGGAACAGCGAAGAGCACCCAGAGGCATTGGGTTCGCGTTTCACGAGATTTCACGAGTTTGTTTTTGATGTGACGCTTGCCCGCTTGCCACATCCTGCAGGTGCCCCAGAAAGCAAGAGGTCAGCTCACATCCGATGAAAAATTAGGCCTGACAACGCCTTTGCGTTGTTCTTTTCACGTGGGCGCAACAAGCTCTGCCAGCCTACAGCGACTTGAAGTTTGTGGAGCACCTTGGCCTCGTCCTCATATCCTTTGGGTCAAAGTTGGGACCCGATGTCGCCATGAGGCTCTGGTGAGTTTGGGCAAGTTTTCCGCGGCTTCTACAAGAAACAGGAGGCCCAACACATGGCACACGCACCTTTCATTTGAGCAACATGTCTTCAGGTTGCAATCAAGCAGCTCTACTGGGACAACACAGTTCTACCACAGGCGGGAACGATGTGCAACTTGGCGGCTGGCGGCTTGGCGGCTTGGCGGCTTGGCGGCTTGGTAAGATGTGTGACAGGTGATCATCCAGGATTTGACTCGAGAGATCGAGTCCTTCAGGCTTTCGATTCTTGAAGCAGGGCATGCGACGCACGCGCGAATGGAGCACAAGCGGACAAAAGATGCCGTGTTCGGCAGGCACCTGCGACACAAGCGCCTGGTCAATTTTGTGGGGGCGTGTCTGGAGATCCCCAACCTGCTGCGAGCTTAGAGACTCTTCTAGGAGAACACACAAATTTTTCGGTCTGATTTTGATTGGCGAGGTGTATTGTCACAGAGGAGATCTCGCGTTGCAGCGCCTTGTTGTAGATACGCTTCGATATAGTGATTGAGTGCTGTGGCGCGCAGCCGCGCAGTACGCTCCTGGCGGCTCTTTGCACCACCTTTTGCATGTGCGCAAACTTCGACTGCCGCTGCTTGGCCATCTGACACGGAGCTTATTGAGAAAGCTAGGCTCGTCTTGGTGTGTTCGCTTTGGTGCCTGGTACAGGGCGGTGTCACTGTCGTCGTATAAATCAAATAATTAAGCGTGCACGCGACCGCAACCTTTGCAGCTAAGGCTGCTCCACTGTGCCAACATGCCCAGCTCCTAGTGTGAACTTGAGAGACGCAAGAACCTTCCTGTGCGAGGTGCTTGCAACTTGCAGAAGGTGTTGTCTACCTGCACTCGCAGAATCCCATAGTCGTTCATCGTGACTTGAAGGCGTGATTTTGCAAACGCATCATTGAGACCAAACAGGCATTTCAGTTCTTGGCAACTTCCCGAGAGCCTGAATGTTGTCCTGGACCTGAGCCTCAACCTGAAACTCTGCGATTTCGGCTTGACTGAATCAATGGTCTGGCTCTCAGGCTCGAGTCCGTGGTGTGCCGATGTGCTTTGCATTCAGGAGCGGACACACATCACGAAGAAGAACAATGGTGGCTCGCCTCGCTACATGGCTCCAGAGGCCTCCTGTTTCAATCGGCATGTGGTGAGGACCCTGCATGTCAATGTGATGCGCATTGTCCAGCTTGCCTGATTTGGCTCAGCTTTATGCATACTTCTAGAGCTACACAATGAATGAGACAACTCATCATTTGCACAAGGGCAGGCATGTCAGGATTGGACACAACTCAGCTTTTTTTTGGCAATGTATGCCTATGGCTCTTTGGTCTGGAACCTACTATGGACCTGACCAAAGGCGAAAGGTGCGCATTGCTCCGCGCTCCAAGGCTGACAGTGCGTGGCATGCGAGTTGGATCCCTGTTGCTTTGCAATCGCCATGAATTGCAGATTGATGTCAGTTGCCAGTTTCGCTGAGGGCCGGATTTTTTCAGATGTTTGCCTTGTGCCGTGCACTGAGTGCCGACGATTTGTGCTATTCTTCAGAAATACCGAGAGCTGAGACACCTTGAATGACGCTTAGGCAATGGTGCTCATGTTGTTTGCGGCTTTGGTTCTTTTGAAGCGCGCTTAGCTTCAATTCTCCCTGAGCTCACACTTTGATTTTCAGTCTTGAGAGTTCCGAGAGAGATGCCTTGGCTTAATGCGCGTGCACTTGAGGATGCCATCCAAAGATGCTGGCAGCGCGGAGTCGACAGGATTCCACAGAATCCTGGTCATTAGCTGCAAAGCTCTCATCGCCAGGGGATAAGAGCATCATTGGCGACTTCGCATCCTGGCAGGCGCACTGCTGCCGTGGACCGTCAGCAGTTCGAACACATTGCATGCTGCAGGATTGGGGAGGCCAAAGCAAGCCCGTCAAGTCGTTGCGGGAGGTCTGCCCGAGGGAGACAGGGCTTCCCTGAACTGTCACTAGTGACGTGCGCTGGGTGCACTGAAACTGGTATAACTGGCCCAGTCGAGGCTTTGGAGATGGAGCACAGAGCATGGGAGATGACCAGACAAGACACGTGCAGCTGGGAGGCACGGAACTGGATTGCCAGGCTGCTTTTTGGCTTGAGTTTCAGGCTGGCGATCCGTCTCCAAAGCAATGCGCCTACGAGGGTTTCATGGAATAGGTGCACATGAACTAAAGCGGCAAAGGAGCATGGTGAAGCCACTGAGGATCTCACCTTGGAAATCTTGGCAGGAAGCTGGGGACAGGTGGCAATTGCAGCTATTGGCGAGTGGCAGCGATTTCTGCTTACCGGGCGGAAGGGGTACGCAACACTGGCTCTTTTGGAGGTGCAAGAATCTGATTGATTCGCTTCAAGAGCTTCCTCGGAACACGCAGCAATTGGGCTGGATTACTTTGCATGCCAAACCTCTCAGAGTTGCATTTGCACGGCATCAGCACGGCATTTGCATTCGCATTATATTTCAGCGTTGCAGCAGCATTCCAGTTGGAGTCAGGCAAGATTGTTGGAATTTGTTGGTGGGTGCCTGCTCAGCACTTGGCGAGCACACTTGCCGCATTCTCAGGCCCTTCCAATCAGCCTTCTTGGTAAGTGTTTCTGTGGACGTGCTTTGACGTAGCCTGGTCAGACGAGGTGGAGCATCCTGGCAGGACGCTCACGCAGCCACGATAGATAAGCAGAAGCCTCGGTTGGTGCTTATCCATTCAGCTGTGGGTTGATATTGTGTTTCGGGCACGCTTTTCAGGCTGGGCAGAGCCAACAGTGGGAACAGATCATGCCATATTTTGAACTGGTCCTAGGTATGTCTGGGCGGGCAGTCCCCTGGGTAGGGTTTTTGAACCAAGGCTTCAGATGTCTGTCGAGAAGCCTTCGTATCCTCTTGACGACGTCTCCCCGGCATGCTTGAGTTTCAGTGACTGACCCAGCTGGCTGCCAGGTGAGCCTGTGTGATGATGCGCAGCCTGAACCTCGTTTGGATTTAGTTGGAGCCATCGGCACTGTGCAAAGGTTGGGTCGGTCCAGATCTTGGACGCCACAGGAGTGGGAGCAGTCCCTTTCATGGTTTGAGAGGAATGTTCAGGCTCGGGGGCTCGGGTCTTGTTCACGATTAGACGCATTTGTTCGGTGCCGCAGTGCCGCAGGTGTATGTTTTAGAGATGCCTGGTTTGGTGCCTGAGCCTTAGCACTTTAGACGATTACACTGGAAAACCTTCCCCACACAGGATCAGCGATGAGAAGGAGACGGTATCAAGTGCCACCCCTAGAACTAGAGCCAACACTGCAACCAGCTATGAGTTGCGCTATCAAACCGCTCGTATTTGCCCAGGCTTGGCACATCATGGTCTACAAGCGGTGCGCATTGCAGGCAGAGTTCAGCGGTTGAAGCCCAGTCCGCTTTCTCGATGCCAGGCTACAACTTGCACTCTGAGACTGATTTCAAGGACATCTCTGAGAATAGATCCCAGCCGCAACAGCTTATCGACTGTTGTAGGCTGCGACGAGAGATGGGGCACTGCCAAAGAAGCTCGACCCATCGCGCTTGGGTGACAAGGCCTTTTCCCAAGGTCGACCCCTAGCATCGCTTTGTGCTTGGTATGGACACTATCTCGACCACGTGTGAGGTCTATGCAGCTAGTGTCGCAGCAAGCAGCGGGCTTACCCAAAAATCTCCACGCAAAGCAGCACGTTGCCAACTAAGGTCACTTCCACGTACAAACCCTAGCAAGCACTTCTCCTTCTCACAAGCCTATCGCGCTTGTGTTGGAGGACCTTGGTCCTTTTTGTCCCTTGCCCTTGACTCCTTTCGGTTCCTCAGCTGGAATTCAGCCCAGGACGGAGCCAAGCTTGCTCATGACTTTCAGCAGCGCATTTGGGCATTGATTCAAGAGGACTGACGGACCAACCTCGAGCCAAACCGAAATTCTTACTTTGCACCAACGCTCTAGGAGATCCCATGCGACTGGGATGTTCTTTCATTGTCATCAAGTTGCCCTGTTGGACGATGTGTTTCACCCCACTTGACAAGAATCGGCCAAAGGCATAGTTGGCAGCGAATGCAGCAGATGGCATAAAGAATGTTGACAGATGGCCGAATGTGCGGACCAAGCATGTCAAGGTCCAAATGCAAACCTCCCGCGAGCTGAGTGGAGACCTTAGCTCAATGAACTTGTTGGTCTTGGCAAACGTGAACAGTCCAGTCAGCTGCACCTGCATCGCCAGCATCGCTTGGCATTGTCAGCATCTCCAATCAGCGGGTTTGAAGGTCTCTCAGGTCCAGCTTTGGGCAGATCACACAGTCATACCCTTCTTAGCTCTTGGGGCGACAGCTGCCAAGAAACTATTGTCAGCCAAGGCGCTGTAGTGAGAGGATCAGTCGAGGATTTCAAGGCAATTTGTTTATGGCACCCGACTGACACATGCGGTTTTTCCGATGGTGTTTTCTTCTTGTGCCTTCCAAATTTGCTTGGAGGTGTGCTCTATCGTTCCGCGGTCATAGCTGGCTTCCGGTCAAAATGGATGGAGGCAGCGTTCGGCCCAGATTGAGTAGGCAATGAAGGAATGAAGGCGACATGGTTCCAAATGCAAGTCCTATCAAGACAACCTCGCGGTGCAGACCTGATCTTCCGAGCCTTCTGATTTGCAGGTGCGTAACCACGATTTGACATTTGACGTGTGCTTTGTTTTTGATTATTGCTAGGTGCCTAGCCTGTCTTAGTGCTGCAGGTGGCCTTTGACCATGAACATCTGGATTGCGTTGTGCTCAATGTGTGGCTTGTGGCATTTGTGCACGAACAAGGGCGGTACATGATTCATGACATCCCTGAATGCTTCATCTCTTCATTTCTTCAGTTGATGGCTCTGGCTGCTGGCCGATCGTAAAAGCACACTCCTTGCCGTCATGAGTTCAACTAAGGCCTGAGTTTGGATGCTTCTTTGGCAGCTCTATCCGACGAGGCGTGTCTCTTGTCGGAACACAATTGTACCACATAGCCTGTGGAATAATCTTGCCCATTTATCAACGGTTTCTGTGAGGCCATTCACTTGGTAATCCTGTATCAGGTTGGAAGGCTTGGGTTTACAGGCTTCATTCTGCAAGGAGTGTATTGGATCATGCTGGGCCTTTTGGCTCAAGGATGATCCAAACTGGCTATTTTTGATTTCTGGTTTCGCGTATTCGGCAAGGGTTACTTGTCGAATGTTGGCAGTTCCAGGAGTCGACTTAGCCGTTCACTCGGATCGCCCGATCTTGTCCAGAGGCGCCTACCTCGACTTCAAGCGCCATGTGAGCCACAATCAAAACCCGGGCAGATGAAGGTTAGTAAGGGGCAGTCCCAGCCAGAAATAGTTGCGGCCGCCTTCTTATTTCTTTACATGGTTCTGGGTAGACCACTTTAATACCGGGTTTTGATTGTGACTCATGTGGGCTATTTGCTGCAGCAGGGGCATCGTGGCCAGGCCCGGCGGCTTTGGCTTTTGGCCGTGGAAGTGTTGCATGCCCCATTCGTGCAACAGCCTTTGCCTGTGGCCGAAAGTGGGGAGATACCCCACCTTCAATTTGCACCCCGTGTTGATGCCCCTTGTGCCAGATGCGACGGGTCTCTTGGCGGCTTCAAGTTCCCGTTCATTGGAACCTGGTGTCGTCGTGCAGTCTTGGTTCAAGAAGGTGCCACTGCTTCGGAGGCTTGGGCCGCCTATCATGGGTGCTATGAGGGGGATTGTCTGTCAGAGGCCATGGTGGCTGAGGCAGGCAGCGGCCTCCGTGCCCAGGACATCATCTCGATGTACGTCTCCGCCGCCGGCCGGGTGGAATCTGGCGGCCTCCCCTTCGTGTCCTTCAGGGGCTTCATGGGAATTTACACGCTGACGCGACACAGCCGGCCACCGGGCACCTTGCCCTGCTCGTTCTGTCACTTCCCTTTCCTGTAAGTCCGATTAGTAGATGTTAAGATTTTACAATTCTAAAAACTTTGAGATTCTAAGGGTCTCAGATGTGAAGACTTTCGGAATTTAAGGTTTCAATGGTTTTAAGATTCAACTATTTAAGGTTTGTGAAGGTTATAACAGCCAGGCCATTGCCCAGCCATTTTCCATCCATTATCAGATTTCG